CCCACTGAGCCACAGCACCGGCCCCAATTTTATTTTATTTTTTAAAAGATTTTTATTTATTTGACAGTTACAGAGAGAGGTGGACACAGAGAGAGAGAGAGGTCTTTCATCCACTGGTTCACTCCCCAAATGGCCTCAATGGCCGGAGTTGAGCCAATCTGAAGCCAGAAGCCAGGAGCTTCTTCCGGGTCTCCCACATGGGTTCAGGGGCCCAAGGACTTGGGCCATCTTCTACTGCTTTCCCAGGCCATAGCAGAGAGCTGGATTGGAAAAGGAGCAGCTGGGACTCGAACTGGTGTCCAGGTGAGATGCTGGCGCTGCAGGCTGGGTTTTTAACCAGCTGCACCACAGCACTGGGCCTGGAAGTATTCTTAACCATATTCTTTTGTTTTCCCAGCAAAACAGACAACACCTCCCTTTAAAAGCTAAAAAGCTGAGGCACAGAGAGCCTAAAGTGGGACCCCTGCTGTGGCAAGTTTGGGACTTGGAGCCTTCTGCCTTGTCCCCAGAATGTCCTGACCCCAGGTATTGTGCCTGGGCAGAAGTTAACTGGTCTCCAGGAGCCAGGCAGGAAGTCCATAGTCCATGCAGACACGTATAAGGACAGAGTTACATTCGGGTAGGTGCAGGTGTGTGGTGGCTGTTGACGGAGGGGAAGTGCTGGGAGGGTGCAGAGAGATCTGAGGTCTGGTGCCATGAGGGAAAGCCTGGGGAAGAGGTGGAGTTTGAATGGGGGGGAGGGGAGGGGCTGTGGGGAGGGGATAAGAGGCCCTTGAGGCCAGAAGAGTGAGGAGAGCAAACCTCTCCCAGCTGTTGGCCAGGGCAGAGCAATAGTGGGAGAGGTGAGGCTGACCGTCCTGTATGAGTGAACATACAGGTGAGCCACACGGAACACACGGCTGCTCCTGCTAAAGCTGGCTAGAGAGGACTGCATGCTCGCCATCTGGGGAAGGCGGAAGGCTGGGACTAGGTGACGATCAAGTGCACCCAGCCTGTGTGAACTGGGCAGAGTGAAAGGAGAGGAGGGAAATGCAGATGGAAGGCTGAAGGGGGTTAAGCACGAGGAATGGCACGTGTCTGTGTGTAGCCATGAAACCTGGAGAGAGAGAGAGAGAGAGAGAGAGGAGAGATCAATCTTGACTCCACTGGAGTGGGAGAACAGAAGCCTGGAGCGAGGACCTGGTGGGCCATGGGAAGAGTAGGTGAGGAGGGGAGTGCAGTTTGCAGGTTGGGAAGAATTTTCAGATGCCCAAGGGAACAGGAATGAAAAGATGTGTGAGGGTTCAGCTGCACTGGGGTGAAGCCAGAGCAGAAGCAGGTGCAGGGAATCCAGGCTGCAGGGGCTGTTCAGGTGTGGCCCTGGCCCACTAGAGGGGCCTCCTGTGATTTGCCTGGCTGGGTTCAGCTCTATGGAGGTTCCTCTCTGTTTGTCAACACAGGAAGGGAGGGACTAGAGGGGCCTTGGGGAGGAATGTGGCAAAACCAGCATCTGTTTGGCTCATGCCCGCTCAGCTTCCAGCCCACCACAACCCTCCAGGCTCCTCAGGCCAGTCTGAGTGGGTAGGAGCAAAAGCCAGACTCAAGCTCCGGGTTTTAGGACCTCCTCGGCTGTTTTCTCCATCACTGGTGCTCAGAGCATTGTTGGCAAGGCTGCTTTTGTTGGGGGAAGAGGGGGCAGCTTTCTTTAAGCCAAATATTTAAGTCCTCCAGGAAAAACCTGTCTCCCAAGGCAACTGGACATTTCTGTTTATTATTATTTTTCATCTTCAGCCATCCTGTCTCCCTTCCTCCATGCCATTCATCTCTACTAAAATAGCTTTTCCTGGCATCTGGAAAGAAAAACTCTTCTTCTGCCCACTTAGGTTCTATACTTGGGGGCTTGTGATTTAAACTGACAAAAGACAGATTAGCAGGAGAAAAGAGAGGTTTTTGTTCCCAGAAATAGTAAGAATTCAGGGACAGATGGGAGGATGACTCAACTAGGCTTGGATTGGAGGCTTCTGTGCCATCTGCCTAAGAGAAGGTTGCTTATGGGGAGGGACGTTTGGACAAGAGAGACGGCCCTTACAGAGAGCGCAGATACGGGAGGTGAGGATTTTGTGATAATACCCAGTACGGTGATTCATTTCCCCTGCGCCAGCTTCTTGTCTCTGGAGACAGACAGGAGTCAATCTTCCTTGGCTATGGAACTGCCAGGGGAAGGGGATTTATGGCACTCAGCCTCTTTTTGGGAAGCACTGCTTTTAGGCAGAGAAGAGAACGCAGAAAAAACCACCATGCAACAACTCTCTCTCCTCCGCACCCGAGCTGGATCTGTCTAGCGTGCCCTGGGAGCCCCTCTCCGTGCCCCTTTCCACCCGGTGCCCCTGCTCGGATGTCCTCAAGCCTAAGTCTGCGTGTCCCAGGTGCTCATTGTGGTCCTGCCACAGGGCGAGCGGCTGGTGTGGTGCTTCATACGCTGCTTGGGACACCCACATCCCGTATCAGAGGGCCTGCGTGCCAGTCTCGGCTCTGTTCCTCATTCCAGCTTCTCGCTATTGCCGGCCCTGAGAGGCAGCGGACGATGGCTCAGCTACCAGGCCCCTGCCACCCACGTAGCAGGCCTGAATGGAGTTTCAGGCTCTTGGCTTTGGCCTGGACCAAGCCTGGCTGTTGTGGGCATTTGGGGAGTGATCAGCAGATAAGAGATGTTTCTGTATGTATGTCTGTTATGGTCTTTCTTTGTGTGTATCTTTATCTCTTCAAATAAGTTAAAAATTTAAGCCTTGCCACAGTAGGGCCCCCAGCTTCCCAGTGTCCTCCCTGATGCTCCTCCCTAGGACTTTGGTCAGGTCATTCTGCTCAGTGAGCCCCTTGCAGCTGTACTGTCTTTTGTACCTGAACCTGTCTGAACTTGGACAGGACCTCCCCTGCCTCCCCCAGCAGGCCTGCTCCTTGCACTCACCTTCGTGTTCTCGCCACCACTCTTTACTGTCACACAGCCCTGTCTGCTCAGGGGGCCAGCGCACTTTCTGTTCGCTTGGCACCATTGCAGCAGCCAGAGCACGCTCTTACCGACGTTTAACAAGCTCATCATCATGTAGCAAATGGCTTTGGGTGTTTTAAAATTGACAGCTCATAGATGAAAGACATTAAAATAGTAAAAAGAGTATGCAGTAAGAAAAACTAAGCAATGTTAATGGTCTCTTCAGGCACAGGCAGACACACTATATGTCAGCCCAGTCAGAAATTTTAATTGTGGCAAAATGCCTATAAAATTTCCAATCTTCAGGACTGTGTGTAAGTGTTTGGCTTAGTAGCTGTAGGTATAGTGAGCTTGTTGTTCAACTGATCGCCAGAACTTTTCCTTCCTGTAAAACTGAAGCTCTGTACCCACTGAACAGCGACTCCCCGCCCTCCCTCCCCCAGCACCTGGCAAGCACCGGTCTGTCCATCTCTGTGATGCTGACAGCTCTAAGCTTGTCACTGGACTCATCCAGGATATGTCTCATTGTGGCTGGCTTATTTCACTTAGCATTATGTTCTCAAGGTTTATCCAAGTGGTAGCGGGAGAATCTCCTTCCTCTTGAAGGCTGAGTAATATTGCATCGTGTGTCTAGATCTTGTTTATCCATTCATTCAGCCACGGGCATTTGAGCTGCTTCCTCCTTTGGTCTGTTGTTGCTACTGTGGGTGTGTTTGCAAATAGCTCTTCCTGACAATGCTGTCAATTCTCTTGGAAATATACCCAGATGTGAAATTGCTGCATTGTACTATATCAACCCATTTTTAAAAAGATTTATTTTATTTATTTGAAAGAATTTCAGAGAGAGGTAGAGTCAGAGAGAGAAAGAAGGGGGGGGGGGTCTTCCATCTGCTGGTTCAATCCCCAATTTGCCATGATGGCTGGAGCTGTACCAATCATTTTGTTCCCTGCCGCCTAGGTGGGAGACCTAGATGGAGTTCCAGGTTACTGACTTCAGCCTCATGGAGCCCCAGCTGTCGCAGACATTTGGGGAGTGAACCAGCAGATGGGAGATCTCTGTCTCTCTCCCTGCTTTTGAATACATTTTTAAAAGATTTATTTATTTACTTGAAAGAGTTACACAGAGAAAGAAAGAGAGGCAGAGAGAGAGAAGTTTTTTTTTTTGGTCAGGCAGAGTGGACAGTGAGAGAGAGACAGAGAGACAGAGAGAAAGGTCTTCCTTTGCCGTTGGTTCATCCTCCAATGGCCGCCATGGCCGGTGTGCTGCGGCCGGTGCACCACGCTGATCCGAGGCAGGAGCCAGGTACTTCTCCTGCTCTCCCATGGGGTGCAGGGCCCAAGTACCTGGGCCATCCTCCACTGCACTCCCTGGCCACAGCAGAGAGCTGGCCTGGAAGAGGGGCAACCAGGACAGAATCCGGCACCCCAACCAGGACTAGAACCCGGTGTGCCAGCGCTGCAAGGCGGAGGATTAGCCTAGTGAGCCGCAGCGCCGACCAAGAGAGAGAAGTTTTCAATCTGCTGGTTCACTCCCCAATTGGCCTCAACAGCCGGAGCTGCACGGATCCAAAGCCAGGAGCTTCTTCCGGGTCTCCCACGTGGGTGCAGGGGCCCAAGGACTTGGGCCATCTTCTATTGCTTTCCCGGGCCACAGCAGAGAACTAGATCGGAAGAGGGGAAGAGGAGCAGCCAGGACTTGAACCGGTGCCCATATGGGATGCCAGCATTGCAGGTGGTGGCTTAATCCATTATGCCACAGCGCTGCCCCGGTTTGTTGTTTTTTTAAAACAAGAACAGTTTCTCTGTCACAACACCTGCCTTGAAACCCACATTCAGAAAGTGACAAGTATGATGGAATTAACACCACTCTGAACTTTTGTATAAAAGTCTTAGTAAATTTTAGAACTTGAAAGGGGCTTGGTCACAGTGAAAAATATTAGAACAAACAATATCTTTCCAGCACATCTGTTTGGCCACAGAAACGAATGACATTCTTTTTTTTTTTTTTAAAGATTTATTTTATTTATTTGAAAGGCAGAGTTAGAGAGAGAGAGAGAGAGAATGAATCTTCCATCTATTGGTTCACTCCCCAGATGGCTGCAATGGTCAGGGCTGAGCCAGGCCTAAGCCAGGAGCCAGGAGCTTCTTCTGGGTTTCCACATGGGTAGGGCTGACAAGGGCCCAAGCACTTGGTCATCTGCTGCTTTCCTAGGTGCGTGAGCAGTGAGATGATCAGAAGTGGAGCAGCTGGAATTCAAACTGGCGCCCACATGGGATGCTGGCATTGCAGGTGGTGGCTTAACCCATTTCACCACAGCACTATCTCTAGAAACATGTCATTTGTATGGAAATAAGGCATCCACGTTCAGTTTTTAGCCTGTGAAATAATGAACAGGAAATCATAAATTCAAGAAAGAAAAAAGTTTAGTATCATATACTAATGGATAAACACGTGAACCATGTCTCTCTAACATGCAGCATAGGTTTCATAAGGAATTTAGGCAGACCCATTCAGATGGTGGGACCAGGATTTGGGTGGGGATGGTGTTAAAGGCAGGAGGTCGCGTTCGCTCTAATCTTTGAGGGAACTGTTATTCTTTTACAATGTCTCTCCCGGTGCAGTCATCATCCATCAGACTGGAATGATGGTTCAAGTGGAGGAGTGTGACCAAGAACTTAAATTCTGCTGTTTTCCAGTGCAAAGTCTACAGCTGATGGTGCCATCCCCCCCAACAGTGTGCCCAGGCACCACACAGCGCCCCCTGGTGGCTGTCACTGACAAAGACATCAGAGAACATACCTTTTTCTTCTTTTTGCTGGTGGTGCTAGATTTCTTACTATTTTTCCAAATACCTCTGAAGGTGTCTGAAGAGATCTGGGGAGTGACTGTAATTTTTAAGACTGGAAGCTTACCTGGGAAAGGGGAGGAACGTAATCATGAGTAGATAGGACACCCACAATGCCTTTGGGTGGGCTAGGTCCGGGACTTCTGAAGGGGGTAGTTTCTCATGTTGCCATTATGTAGGTAACTTTCCTCACATCTGATACCCTTCCCCTACATCTTCTTGATGTGAGTGATCAGAGTGATGGGTTTACCTCTGTAATAACTTCTTACACGCATCATTCCTTTAACTAGTCTTCCTAAGTCTGACTTCCCCAACCCCAAATCCAGCCTCGTTAATCCTCTGAAAAAAAAAAAAGTTCCGATCTTGCCATTCACCATATCAGTAATGATTTGGTATCATTATTGGCTCCCTTCTTTGGTGGCCATCTCTTGTCTGGAATAGTACCGTAAATTTCCTGCAGGAACACATTCCCCTGCTGTCTGGGGGCTTGGCACCGAAGCGAGGACTGTTCTCAAAGTGCACCTCATCTCCCTAGCACAGTGATTGGTTAGCAGGCATCATGTGACTCGTGATGGTCCAATGAAAGCCAAGAGAAGAGCAGATCTTTCTTGGGATTATTATACATGTAGAATGTAAACTTCTGGCTAATGCTGCCTAATTTGACACAACAATCTGACTAACTTTGGGCAACTTGCCTGATAATAATAGAATAATAATAATAGAAGCAGAACGTCCAGAAGATGGAGGAAGGCGGGGTTATTTGAACTGCTGAATGCAGCTGGATCTGTAGCTAGAACTACTCTACTTTAATTATGCAAGCCAATAAATTTGCTTTTGTACTTACAAGAATTTGCGTTGCTTTTGTATCACTTTATACCAAGGGTCCCCATTGATTTTCCTGTAGACTAAGGACCCGGATGCCCAGCGTGCTGTTCGGGAAGCTGGTGTCACCGGATCCTTGCACGTTTCCCCACAGCATCCTGCCTGCTGCCTCTTTCTGTTTCTCATCCAGCCAGATGGCCCTGTCCTGCTTGCTGGGTGCCTCACGCTGCAGTCTGCAGAGGCCAGGATACCCCAGGGAGAGGCCAAGAGCAGAAGGGAAATAAGACATACAGCTGACAGGAAAACTAAGAGCTACAGTGATAGTACTGAACTTCAGTTCTCGAGAGTGAATTGAAGTGAAACGTGGAAGTGGCTGTCCAGGCTGGCCACAGGACAGGGGAGTGGAGGGCAGGAAGGGGGAGTGTGGCTAAGGGTCCTGGTGGTGTCAGACAGTGTGGTTTACCATGTCAGGACTTGCGAAGGGCCAGATACCAGATCTGCGGTGGGTACCGGTGCAGGCACGTAGGGAAGAGAAGCGAGGTTGGTACCCTGGTTGGCCATTTTCTTCTGGTGAGCAATGCTTCTTGGTACTTTAGGTGTGCTAGGGGTCATTCTATCATATGATTCATTTGTGTGTGTTGGGGCTTGCTCATACTCCAGGTGGGGTTGATGTAATAAAATCGAGGGAGGTAGGCTCCTAGGAGGGTGCCAATGTCAGGGGGTTGTACAGAAGCCCCTCTGATTTCCTGCATCTACTTTTGGCCCAGGTGTGTGTTTTCCTTGTTTCCTTGTAGAGCAGCAATTTATGCAGATACACATCTCCCAGCAGCCTCTGGGGCCCATGCACAATGACCAGCAAAGACCTTGGTGTTGCGCTTGAGCCACTCTGGAGAGGCCGCTGATTTCTAGGGCCTTTTGCGAAGTCTAGGGTATAGACGATGAACTGGCCCATGGAAATTCTTACAGTTCCCTGCCTAAAATCTTTTTTCCTGCTTTCTGTTCTTTTTTTAAATTTATTTTTATTTATTTTTGACAGGCAGAGTGGACAGTGAGAGAGAGAGAGAGAGAGAGAGACAGAGAGAAAGGTCTTCCTTTACCGTTGGTTCACCCTCCAATGGCCGCTGCAGCTGGTGCACAGCGCTGATCCGAAGCCAGGAGGCAGGTGCTTCTCCTGGTCTCCCATGGGGTGCAGGGCCCAAGAACTTGGGCCATCCTCCACTGCACTCCCTGGCCACAGCAGAGAGCTGGCCTGGAAGAGGGGCAACTGGGACAGAATCCAGCGCCCTGACAGGGACTAGAACCCGGTGTGCCGGCGCTGTAGGCGGAGGATTAGTCTAGTGAGCCACGACGCCGGCCTCCTGCTTTCTGTTCTAATGGAACTCATATTTTCCTTGGGGCAGCAACGTGCCCAGCTGAGTAAGGATCCTATTTTCCAAGTCTCCCCTGGCATTAGGGATGGGTGAGTGCTCGGCTTCTGACCAGTGAATCACAAGCAGAAGTGTGCTGGAGATTTCTGGGATTTCCTAGGCAGGTACCACACCTTCTGCTTGTCCCTGCCTTCTCTTTCTTCTAGTCTAGAATGGAGATGGGAGGCTACAGGTGAAGCGGGCACTTTGCAGCCATGAGTTTAACAGCTAAGGCTGATGGTGGGGAAAGGGAGAAGGAAACCGGGATGTTGATGATGTAGCACAATCTGCACCTGCCCAGTCTGCCTCTCTCTGGTTCAGCCACATGGAGCCAAGCACCGTCTCTAAGTGATGTTAAATTTAATAGGAAACTGACAAATCATGGTCAAGGGGCAAGCAAAAGCTCAGAGAAGGACAAGAGTGAACCAGGGGAAGGCAAGGACTTCAGGAGAATGAGGTCCAAAGTCTTGACCAGGGTCAGGAGGGAGGGTGGGCTGCATGACCCAGGCGTGAGGAGTGCAGGGGGCCGGAGACCACTGGAATGGGGCCAACAGTGTGATGTGCAGGCCAGCCTGAGGCCTCAGCGGATTCGTGAGGCAGCCCAACCCATAGATGACCGTCGTGTCGTCCTTTTCACTCCTTTTCCTCTTAGGAATTTCTACACGTTCTTCAGTGCCGCATAGCTCAAGTTTGTGAAGCCTTTGTTGTAGCTGAGATGATTTAAGTCAGCATTAAATGGTGACATGGAGTTACAGCAATAGATGGCCTGGTAAGAAAGCTATGTGAGTTTCAATTCACTCTCCAAAAATCTTCTTCAGGGCAGGTGTTGGGCCTCACAGTTTAAGATGCTGGTTGCGATTCCTGCACCCTGTATTACAGTGCCTTGTTCTCTGCTTCTGCTTGGATGCCAGCTTCCTGCTAATGTGTACCTTGGGAGGCAGCAGGTGATGGCTGAAGTCACTGGGCCCCTGCCATCCGTGTGGGAGAGCAGGCTGGAGTTCCCAGCTCCTGGTTTAGGCTTGGCCCAGCCCTGGCCCTTGCAGGCATTTGGGGAGTGGACCGGTGGGTGGGGGTGCTCTTTGTCTCTCTCTTGCCTATCAAATAAATAAAATTTTAAAAAAGGAAACTTTTTTTTTTAAGCAATGATGTCAAAGTGGGAAAAATACAGTGCTGTTAGTTTAGGGAAAAATTTTAGTATAAAGTTTGCTATCTATGTAAAAGTGAATTCTGTAAGTAATGCTATTGATCTACTTAAGAGACGAAAGGGTATAATTTTCCAGCTCAGTGGTCTTCAAAAAGGCATGAAGGGGATTGCTGGGTGTCTTAGATTGATCAAAATTTTAAAATTTGAGAGACTGGAAGTGGGGCTGGGCCGTGGCCTGGTTGTGGCCTCACCCTCACAGCTGATCTAAAATAAATAAATGGAAGAAAATTAAATATTTAAATATTTTCATCAAAGTGTATATATAAAGAACGGCTAAAAGGCCACAATAAACAAGAGATTCATTGCTGTCCCGCAGCACGCCTGGTCCCCCAGAGGCGGCCACTCTCAGCACGTGCGGCTGTCCTTCATGATACTTACTGCCTGGTTGCAAGCTGTTTTCTATTATTTCTTGATGTTTCCATGTTAAATTTCACATTTTGAGCTTTGTCACTTCCTCTCACCACGCCTGCCACTAAAGACATATCACTGGTTTTAGTGAAATGGTGCATTCGTATCCAATTGGTGTCATTAGATACCTTTCGTCGTCAGTGCTTCCTTTTCTTACATAGCTTTCTTTTGCCTGGCATAATAATTGTCCTGGGTTTTATTTTTTCCATTGTCATAGTTTCCTGTGTCCCTGTGCTAAATATTTCCACCAAATTTTCTTTTATGTCTCACGCTCTATCAGTCTTTGTTTCAAAATTCCTAGGTTCTCCAGCTGCTCCGTTGATTTAGTTTTCACCCCTCTTCCTCCTTTCCAAAGGCTTCCACGTTCCTGCTGCCGTGCGGACTGGGTGTGACTTCCGCCATCATCTGAGTGTCTCTTTTCTGTTGTGCCGCGTGGGTTCTTCTGATCTCTGGACTCCGTCTTCTTTGCCTTTGAGGCTCAGGCGTGCTCTCTGGAAGCCTCCTCAGGGTGAAAACAGAGGAGGTACACGTCGAGCCCTCACATGCTGAAAACATCTGTGTGTTGTCCTCACGCGTGGTTAGACATTAGGAACGTACAGACTCCTCACCGAATCGCCATGGTGTGTTCCACAGTCCCTGGCTGCAGTTAGAAAGTCCATCATTCTGATCTCCAGTTCTGGCGAGGGAGTTTTTTCTTTTAGCAAGTTGTTGCAATAGCTCCTCGTTTCTAGTGTTCTGAAATGCTGTCATGATAAGCTAATACGCACCCTGGGAGGCAGCAGGGGATGGTGTAAGTACTTGGATTCCTGCCACCCACAATTCTGGGCTCCTGGCTTTGGCGTGGCCCAGCCCTGTCTTGTGAGCATTCGGAGTGAACCAGTGGTTGGGAGATCTCCCTCTGTCTCTTTGTCTTTCAAATAACGTGAAAATAAACACACACAAAAATTGATATGCCTTTTATCATTCACTATGCTGGACACTCAGTGGGCTCTGTCACTGTGCACATTTATGTCTCTTGGCTCTGGAAATTTCTCGATTTAGGAGGGTAGTTCAGAAAGTTCATGGACATCGAATTAAAAGATACATTTATTTTGATGCCAAAACTTTTGAAATCCATACATGGTGTTTTCATAATATGCATCTCCTGGCAACTTTTTGAACTGCACTTTGTGTTCCTTTGATAATTCCCTCGGCTCTTCTGTGCTCCGTCTTTCTGGAAGTGTTACTTAGACACTGGGATTCCGTCTGCTTCGCTGTCTCTCGCATTTTCTCACCAATGTTCCACCTCCCTGTCTTTTGTTCTACTTTCTGGACTTTATCTCTTAACCTTTCTTTTGAAAGTTTAACCTTGGCCATCACTTTTGCTTTCCAAGAATGTTTTCTAAATCTTTCATTTTTCATAGGATTTATTCTCTGTGTGGATGCGTTATCTTCCGTTTGGCTGAGAAGGTTGCAGCCGGTTTTTGCCTTCAGTTTTCTTCAGGGATCCTTTTCTCCCCTTTCAGGCTTGGTCTCTGCAGTGACGGATTCTCGGCTTTCTGTTCAAATGGAGCACAAGGTGTCCAGCGGCTGACGGGAAGACCTCGCGCATGGTCAAGGCTTGCTGACCTGCAAGGCTTCTCTGAACGGTTGTGGGGAGCCACGCGTCGGAGCCCGGAGTTCCGTTGTCTAGGGCTGTTCAGTTTCTCAAAGAGTGCCCCAGTCTTCCAGCGCCAGCCTTCTAGCAGCAGGGCAGAGAAGGCAGAGGGGCGGGAAGGGCTGAGTCCCTGCTGCTCAATGTTCCTGAATCTTCCCCCTGCCAGCATCTCGCCTCATCCCCGTTCTCCGTGCCAGGTGCCCTGGGTCTGCTGGAAGCGTCCTGTGTGGGTTCTCCGGAGAAGACGTTCCACCGGGGCTCCCTGCCTCCCCTGCAGGCTGTTTCCGGCACAGCTGGAGCCATCCTGCTGAAACGCGGGTCAGATCAAGTCACTCCCCTGCCTAAAACTCTCAATGCTTTTCCACCTCAACAGAGTTGAAAACGGAAGCCCCGTGACTGTCTACACAGCCTCCTGCCTCCAGGCTTGTGTCTCAGACTTTTTGGCCAATTGTCGCCTAATCTCCCTTACTCCATTCTGGCCATACTGGCTGCCTTACTGGTGCTAGAAGGAACCGGTAGGCTCCTGCCCCAAGGCCTTCGCACTTGCTGTTCCTCTGCCTGGAATGTCTTTCCTTCGGATGTCTGCATGCCTGCTCCCGCCTCCCTCAGGACTTCGCTCAACGTCTCTTCGTCTCTTCGCAGCGAGTCCTTCCCTGTCGGCTCTGAGACTGTCCCTGACACACGCCCTCTGTCCTCTGTTTTGCTTTATTTCCCCCCCTCTGATAGCCAAGCGTCCTTGACTGCTGTACTGGAAAGCAGTCCCCACGAAGGCAGGAATTCATCCTCGCCCTCTCCAGTGTCTATAACGGGGGCTGGGTTGGGCACCTGGCCTAGAGGATGAGATGCCAGTGAAGATGTCCACATCCTGTGTCCAAGTGCTTCGTTGGAGGCCGGCTCTGCTCCTGATTCCTGCTTCCTGCTGATGTGCACCCTGGAAGGCAGCAGGAGATGGCTTAAGTAGTTGAGTCCCTGCCACCCAGGTGGGAGACATGGATGGAGTTCCAGGGTCCTGGCTTCAGCCTGGCCCCGCCCAGGATGTTGTGGGCGTCTGGGGAGTGAACCAGCAAATTGGAGCTCTCCCTCTCTTTCTCCCTCTCTTTCAAATAATAAAATAAATAAATAAAACTGAGTCTGCAACATGGTAGGTATTTAATAAATGTACGTGGAAAGAAATAAGGAAATAATGAATATGTGAAGGGGTCCTGAGGCATTCTGTTTCCTTCCTTGTGGAAAGGAAATGGGCTACAGTCTGTTGTTGGAATTACTTTTTAAAGCAGTGTGGTTGCAGGTATTTCTGTGTGCATTCTATTATGAACGGCACTCATTAAGAACTCCTTGCTAGGCAAAGAAGTAACCTCAAGCTGTTAATTTAGATTTCGTGAAGGAATTAGAATTAGTAATTAGCTTGCTAACTTGCAAATGATAAGAACACAGAAGCAATCAATAGACGAACATTAGTTGTACAATCAGTGACATTACTAACTGCTTTTTAATGCTCAAAATGAGGACGTTAGGGTGAACCCTAATACGAGTGAACCCCGTTTTAAGGACTCCTCCCTGGTGCTCAGACCAACCGCCTGACTGTAGTGTTTCTTGGAGACAGCCCCGGGCCATTTCAGTTTGAGAGATGGACGCCTTAATGCTACTCATGATGTATGCTGCTATTTTTGGAAGAAAACCAATTTCTTGAACTATAAATGACTTTTTAATGCTTTTTAAATGAGTCTTTGTGTTTTCAGGTGGGTATTTCATAATGATCTTCTCACTTATGCAAATTAAACCCTATTCAAAGCAAGCAGCTCCAAATACGCCCACAGAGGAAGTCGGTGAGAGTCATTCTCCACCAGGCCACTGAGCCATCTGTCTCTCGAACGCACGCACTGCAGTACCAGCCAGGACTGTCTGCAGCCTTGCAGGGTCTTCTGCCATGGTGTGTAATGATGCAGCCACCACAGTGCCAGCAAAGAGGAAATCAGTAACCTGCCTTCAGTGTGCGGAGCTTCATTTCAAGTTAAATTTCAATTGAGTTCAACAGAATAATTTTGTTGAATTGAGTTTAACTGTAATAGCATAGGAAGTAGATGCTCTGTTTCTCTAAAATAAGGGGAAAATGTAAAAACTCTGGAATCACTTGGTTGACTTAAAAACTGTAGGGGCCGGCGCTGTGGTGTAGCAGGTAAAGCCACTGGCTGCAGTGCCGGCATCCCATATGGGCGCTGGTTCAAGTCCCGGCTGCTCTACTTCCAATCCAGCTCTCTGCTGTGGCCTGGGAAAGCAGTAGAAGCGATGGCCCAAGGCCTTGGGCCCCTGCACCGGCGTGGGAGACCTGGGGCAGCTCCTGGCTCCTAGCTTTGGATTGGCGCAGCTCCTGCTGTTGTGGTTAACTGGGGAGTGAACCAGCGGATGGAAGATCTCTCTCTCTCTGCCTCTCCTTCTCTCTCTTTGTAATTCTGCCTTTCAGATTAATAAATAAATCCTTAAAAACTGCAATTTCAGTTTTTAAAATGACAATATAGTATACAATAATATCATCATACTTTTCTCTAAAATACTACCAGCATTAAAAATGCAATCTATAATTATGCCATGTGTCTAAGACAATTTTACTATACAAATAGCAAAGATGGATGCTTGTGCTACTTAATTGTCTCCAGGTGACCCTCCAGGTAATGTACCAAGTATTCTCTCCATTTTAAATATGTGTATATACACATATGTTGATTTATTTGAGAGGCAGAGAAATAAAGCTTCCATCTACTGGTTCACTGCCCAATAACTTGACAATGGCTGGGCTAGGCTGACTCCAGGCTTTAGCCACATGGATGATAGGAATCCAAGTACTCAAGCTGTCACGGCTACCTCCCAGGAGGCACGTTCGGCGGACCCTGCAATGAGGAGCTGAATTGAGGTATTGAGCCCAGGTGCTCTGATGGGGATGTGGCCATTGCAACCAACTGCTGGGCCAAACGGCCCTTGCTTGCTTACTCTTCATGTTGAATTTGCATTCTTCAATCTGTTAATGATGTCTTTTGTTGAGCCTCATTTAAAATGATGTTTCTTCACCTCCTCTTGGTTAGCACCAAGAGCAGCCATCTTTAATTCTGATGGTGTTGGTGAAGGAGAGAACAGGGTAGCCAGCATTAGCAACTCATTCCATTCGGGATTTTCTCATGTCCAAAGGACTCCATGATCATAAAACATTCCGCATGCTATCCCTATGCCAGTCACGATTTAGCCATTCTTTGAAGATCCAGAAAACACAGTGTAATATTTTGAGGATTGTTACTTGGGTTTTCCGACTGATATGTTTGAGAAATCTTTGTGGGTTGGGTTGGAAGGGGAAGAGGAAATGGGAGAAGACTTTCATGGAGAATAGGTGAGGATAATGGAAGAGGGAGAAAATTAAACAAATTTCACTTTAAAAACATTCATTGTTTAGATCAAAGGCCACATATGACATCCAAGTTCCTGAATTCTGCAAATCACTAGGCAGTTGACACACTGTGCTCCAGGTCATCACACAGTTCAGGCCATATATTTACCTCTTTATGTTAGTGACATAAATTCTTTAAAAAACATTTATTTATTTGAGAGGCAGAGAGAGCTCCCATCTGCTGGTTCACTCCCCAAATAACCTATGGGCCCTGGGGAGGAGGGGGCTGGGCCTGGAGCCAGACACAAAGAATATAATCCAGGCCTCTCATGTGAGTATCAGGAACCCAGTTAGCTGAGTCATCATCGCTGCTTCCCAGGGTCTGTGTTAGCAGGAAGCTAGGGTTAGCAGTCAGAGGTGGATATAAAACCCAGGTACTCTGATTGCTAGGCCTGCCCCCAGGTCAGTTTATTTAACCCTCGGGGCCTGTTATTAAGTGGAGAAAGTGGAGCAAGTTGTGAGCATTTAGGAGTCAGTGGATGTGAAGAGATGGAGAGAAACACTTTACCTGTCTTCCTGGCTCTCAGGGCTCCAAGGATGTCAACAGCCACCGTTTCTCCCAGGCCATTGTTTCCAAGGTCAAGTTCCCTTAAGTAGGCAGAGTGTCTGATCAGGCTGCCCAGAGAAAATGACAGAACAAAGCGGCATTGTACCAAGTGTGATTACCCAAAGAAACTCCACGCAGTTCCCTTGCTTCATGGCCTTTCTCTCTGCTGAGTTTCTCTCTGATCTTCCTCCACTCCACCCCCTGGATGATGCCGCGTGGAGACTGGGGACATTCTGAATCCAGTTTTTCCCCAGTGTAATCGCTCCGGTTTGGATACTTTCCCAGGACAAGCTGGTAGGATGAGGATTTTTTGCTGCCTCAAACCCTCCCTTGATTATTTGTTTCTAAGCATGCGTGGACACATGCTTCCGGGTCACTTAGTCTCACCCTTCCTCAGCCCTTGCCCTTCTCTGCCCAAAGAGTGAGCAGAGTTAGAGGGGCGGGAAGGGTTGTTTGTTTGTTTACACAATGTTAACATGATGTGACGTGAGTGGAAAGACCCGTAAAGTGCATTCTGGAAAATATAAGATGCCGTGGGGTGTTCTGCAGGACCTCCCAGTCATTCCGATTTTGCATTCCAGAAAAATGACAAAGAAACTGAAGGGACTGACATGTGTTTGGCAGATTTTAATATGTCAGATAACAATTCTCACCTAACAACATATAAAAGTAAAATATTTCTACATAAAATTAAGGAGGGAATTATCTGTAAATAAAGGGCATTTTTAAAAAAGATTTATTTTATTTATTTGAAAGAGTTATAGGGAGTGGTAGAGCCACAGAGAGAAAAAGGTCTTCCATTTGCTGGGTCACTCCCCAGGTGACTGCAACAGCCAGAGCTGAGCTGATCTGAAGCCAGGAGCTTCTTTCGGGTCTCCCACGCGGGTGCAGGGACCCAAGGACTTGGCCATCTTCCACTGCTTTCCCAGGCCACAGCAGAGAGCTGGATCAGAAGTGGAAATGGAAGTGGAAGCAGGACTCAAACCGGTGCCCATATGAGATGCCAGCACTGCAGACTGGGGCTTTAACTCACTGCACCACAGTGGCCCCAAGGGCATCTTTTTAAACCAAGTGATTTTAGCTTTATGACAAATTAACTGTACTATGTCAGTCTTTCTGATTTCTCTTTAAGGACTGTTGAAAATTCCCCAGTGGTCTGGAACTAGCCTGCTGATTGGTCTGTGGGAGTCTCTGGCATCCCGGGTGGACATGGAATCTGGGCGAAGGCCCAGGCTCTGGTCAGTTTGGACTCCTTGTCAGTCAAGCGTTCCTGGGTAGTGTTCTTGGATCTCATCTGCCTCATCTGTAAAACTGGCCTGAAGAAGGCTGTTCTGCCCATTTCAAAAGGTTGTGGTGAAAGCAGAATGAAATAGTCGATATAAAAGCATCTTGCAAATGCAATGCCGATGACGCTTTTGCATCAAGTGCATGCTAATGAAGGGCAGGGATTAGAAGACATTTGTCACGCCACCTGTGTTCTGAACGAGGTGAACCCGTGACTCAGTTCCGGGCCCTGATCACATGCTGGGGCTGTGACAGTTCAGCTGGGGTCACTGCTGAATATGAGGCTGGACACACCCTGATGCAGCAGCCGGAATTCAAGGCCAGGGCTGAATGGTCCCAGATAGACTCTCCCTCTCCAAGGTCTTCCTGCCACGGAGACCACCTGTCTAGCCGGGCCTTGACCTGCTTCTTTGGCTTTCTGTCTGGTTGTGTCCAGTTCCTTCAGATGACGGGAGCAGGGTCACTTCATGGGAACGTAGGAGGCTCTCAGAAGGAGGGCCCGGGTTGTAGAAGATGAACTTCCTGGTGCAACAGCTCTGCATCAGAGGCTGTGAATTTACCCTGTGCACCACGCGGCCTCACGTGAACTAGGGGTTCAGGGAGAGCTCGCTGTTCACCAGCTGTGCGCAGCGAATCTGCATGCTGAAGCACTTGCTCTCAGCACAAGGCAGCCTGCTAAGGGGATGCGTGGAGCTGAAATCCAGCTGAGCTCTGTTGGGCCTGGCCTTGAAGCATAGGCCTACAGAGGGAACTTCCTCTGATCCACCGGGCAGCCGTGGCGCCTGCTTGAATTCGTCTGTGCAGAGGGGCCAGAGCTCTGGGCACTGCATTTAACACTTTGTATATGAGGGGTCATCAGAAAGTTCACCGGGAATATACCCAATCCTCTCATTCCTTTTCCCCAAGAACATCTTGAGGGACTGCCATACATTATCCAATTTAACCCTGTAACCATTTCCCGAGTTAGACACTGTCATTATCCCCATTTTTTTTCAAGATTTATTTATTTATTTGAAAGTCAGGGTTACATAGAGAGAGGAGAGGCAGAGAGAGAGAGAGAGAGAAAGAGAGAGAGAGAGAGAGAGAAAGAGAGGACTTCCATCCACTGGTTCACCCCCTAGATGGCCGCACGGCCGGAGCTGAAGCCAGGAGCTTCTTCTGGGTCTTCCACGTGGGTGCAGGGACCTAAGGACTTGGGCCATCTTCTACTGCTTTCCCAGGCCATAGCATGGAGCTGGATCAGAAGTGGAACGGCCAGGTCTCGAACCAATGACCATATGGGATACTGTGCTTAAGGCCAGGGTGTTAACCCACTGTGCCAGCCGCGCCACAGCGCCGGCCCCTCACAAATGAGGAACCAAGGGAAAGAGAAGCGATTTAGCTGGCCTGCTGTGACACCACAGTAAATCATGGTGCGGGAGTGCGGACCCAGACAGCTGGCTTGAAAATAACCATGGAACATGACTGAGACACGCCAAGAAAAGATGTTTAAACGCTGATAGTTCTCCAGTCTTAAAGAGAACAAAATGATTGAAGTAGTTGCTGTCAGAACAACAAGAAAACTGGGTATTGCTAGCACAGGTGCGTGTTGCTGCTGGCACTCACGTGGGTGGTCGCACAGAGCCGGCTCCGGGGGGTGTGGCTGGGGCGGTCTGCAGTGCCCCCTCTCTCTCTGAAGGAGCCTTTCCTTGGCTTAGTTCTCGTGCTGCTGTCATCTGGAACTTCTTCATAGTATTGAACAGGGGCCCGTCTATTTTCATTTTGCAGTGAGGCTCCACAAATGACGTATCCAGTTCTGTGGTCGTGTTTAGTGTGGTCAGCGCCAAGAGCAGGATCGGATGAAGGGTCAGCCCCACAGAGCACCACCACTGGGCCCTGATCAGAAGGAGGCCGAGTTCAACACGCGGCTGTGGCTTCTGACTCCAGCCGCCTGGCTGTGCAGAGCCCGGGAGGCAGCCAGGATGGCTCAAGGAACTGTTTTTTTATTTTATTATTTTATTATTATTATTATTATTATTATTTTGACAGGCAGAGTGGACAGTGAGAGAGAGAGAGACAGAGAGAAAGGTCTTCCTTTTGCCGTTGGTTCACCCTCCAATGGCTGCCGCGGCCAGCGCGCTGCGGCCGGCCCACCACGCTGATCTGAAGCCAGGAGCCAGGTGCTTCTCCTGGTCTCCTATGGGGTGCAGGACCCAAGGACTTGGGTCATCCTCCACTGCACTCCCTGGCCACAGCAGAGATCTGGCCTGGAAGGGGGGCAACCAGGACAGAATCCGGCACCCCGACCGGGACTAGAACCCGGTGTGCCGGTGCCGCAAGGTGGAGGATTAGCCTAGTGAGCCACGGCGCCGGCCAAGGAACTGGGTTTTTGCCACCCAAGTCAGAGACCTGGATGGAGTGCCCAGCTCTCAGCTTCTGCGCAACTCAGCCCTGGTCGTGGTGGGCATCTGGGGACTGAATCAGGGGACGGGAGTGCTCGTTCGCTCTCTGCTGTGTGTCTATGTCTGTCCTTGTCTCTGCCTCTCAAACAAGGAAATGAAATTCCCATAAAGAAAGCTCCAGTTCTAGATGTCTTCACTGATGAGTCTCCTAAATGCTCATAAGAAAAAACAATGCCAATGCAAACTGATCATTTTATAAAATGGCAGAGGGAACATTCCTCACTCATCCCGTAAGGTGAGAATTATCCCGATCCCAGCAGCAAAGACATTACAAGAAAACTACAGATCCATCTATAATACCTCATGAATGTAGATACAAAAACCCTCAACAGAATTTTAACAATATACTAAAAGGATAACATTAGATTCAGGAATAGATTAAAAGAGTAATAAGATGAGGCTTATCAATATAATTATTACAGAAAAAGTAGCAAGTCTGTTCACTCTGGGGATATTCCCATCCTCCTGAATACGGAAGTGAAGGGACTTTCTCCTCCTGAAATAACAGCCCTCCAGGGAGCCTGTGAGCTCAGACTCTGGCGTGAGGCACTCTAAGTACTGACTGCTGGGTGTCGCCTGGAGCGCCCCCTACCCAGCGAGCTTCTCCCGCAGCAGCTGCAAACCCCAATTTGTGGCCTGGCCGCGGCAGGTGCGGATGCAAGGGCAGCTGGACAGGGAGATGCCCAAAGTTGTCAAGATAAACATGGCAAGCAAATAGTGTGTTTACCAGGAGCTTTCGCGAATAGCTGTGTCTTTCTGCCCGAGGAGGTTGGGATGGCTTTGGGACCAACACAGAAGTGTTCACCCCAGGGGGCTGCCCTGATGCCCCGGCTCCCATGACTTCCTTTTTCCTTACAACCTGACCTTAAGGAGGGCAAATCTGGAGGTCAGCCCTGCCTTAGTTGCCAGGATCTTAAAAGGGGGCTTCTGTGCAGGTCTCGGAGGCCTCTGGATGGGTTCACACAACTGTGGGCCTCACCTGGTGACAGACCTCACGGGTCACTGCTTCTGTGTCAGAGCTGACACCTGGGAACAGCACGAAGTGGCCGTGAGCCGCCGTCCCCGGGATTTAATCCCACACTTAGTTTTGGAAGGAGAACAAGTCCAGCCTCCTAGCTGGCTGCTCACCATGTTAAGCTGTGAGTGAATTCCAACAGGTCATTTGCTCCCTCTTTTCCTTTTCCATCTATGCCGTTATCTGCCAAGTGCAACTTCACTAACCACGGGCCAGCTTCAGTGGAACCGTTAGCTTTTTTCTTGATTCCTACAAGAAAATTGGAATATTTCCTGTTATTATTTTATTTGGCAGGCAGAGAGAGAGAGAGAGAGAGAGAGAGAGAGCAGCACTGTAGCCCAGCAGGTTAAACTATGGCTTGGAACACCACATCACATGTAAGAGTGCTGGTTCAAGTCCCGACTGCTCCCTCCTCCTCCTCCTCCTTCTCCTTCTTCTGATTTATTTTATTTATTTGAAAGACAGAGGTACAGAGAGAGGTAGAGAGAGAGAGAGAGAGAGAGAGAGAGAGAGGTCTTCCATCCCCTGGTTCACTCCCCAGATGGCCTCAATGGCCAGAACTATGCTGATCCAAAGCCAGGAGCCAGGAGCTTCTTTTGGGTCTTCCACTTGGGTACAGGGGCCCAAGGACTTGGGCCATCTTCTGCTGCTTTCCCAGGCCATAGCAGAGAGCTGGATTGGAAGTGGATCAGCTGGGACTAGAACCACTGCTCATGTGGGATGCCGGCACTGCAGGCAGTGGCTTTACCTGCTGTGCTACAGTGCCAGCCCCAACTGACTGCTCCCTTGTAATTCAGCCTCTTGCTAATGCACCTTGGAAGGCTGTGGAAGACAGCTCAAATGCTTGAGTCGCTGCCATTCATGTGGGCAACCAGGATGGAGTCCCTAACTCCTGGATTCAGCTTGGCCCAGACCCAGCTGTTGTGGCCATTTGGGGAAATAGAAGATTCTTTCTCTCTTTGTCACTCTGCCTTTTAAATCAATCACTCAAGCAATAAATCTTTTTTAGAAAGAAAACAAAAAAGAACAAGAGCAAGAGTGTGCCCCCATCTGCTAGTTCATTCCCCTAATGCCTGCAATGGGCAGGCCAAAGCCAGGAGCCAGGAACTCAGTTCAGGTCTCCCACATGGATGGCAGGGATCCAACTACTTGAGCCATCATCATTGCCTCCCAGGGTTTGCATTAGCAGGAGGCTGGAGTCAGGAGTCAGAGCCAGGAATGGAACCCAGGCACTCCTGATAACAGGAGGAGGCAGCCGTCCTAACTGGTCACTAGGCCAAACACTAGACTAAACAGCTGCCCCTTAGAGAATATTTTAAAATTTGGTATTTTAAATATTAGTTTAAATATTAGTATTTTAAGATATTAGTTCTGCTTTTTATCACAAGCTAAACTGATTTTATGTTTTTCGATTGTACTTACTGGACTTGTGTGAGTAGATGCTTTTTGCAATACAGTCAAGGAGCTGTGTGTAACTTGAAGTTCTTGTTTTAATCTCAGTGCATCCTACAAACCCCAACTTGTTCTGCATGAAAGGAGATCCCATATACTTTGATTGAAGAGGAACATTGATGTCTGTTGATCTCAGGGAAGCAATATTCCTTAAAAAGGGATTCTGTTCTTTAAAAATTTTTTAAAAATTTGCTTTCATTTTATTTGAAATGCAGAGACACAGAGACAGATCTAGCATCCTGGTCCACTCTCCAAATGCTCTCAGAGCTGGAGCAGGCTGAAGCCAGGAGCCTGGAACTCAATGTGGGTCTCCCATGTGGGTGGCAGGGACTCAAGCACTAGAGCCATCACTTTGGCAGGAAGTTGGATCCGAAGTGGAGTAGCCTGGACCACTCTGATGTGGGATGCAGGTTTCCCAAGTGGCAATTTAGCCGCTAAACACTCAGCCTCGTGAAGAAGGTTGAACATTCATCATATTTTTTGAACCCCGGAAGAAAAAGTTTGAAGTAGAAAGGCCCATCCTGCCTTCATAGACTTTATGAGGCCTGGGTGCCAAGGTCTGAATCACCCTTATTGGCCCATCCAGCTTTGGTGAAGTTGGCCGTCAGCGCTGTGGAGTGGCATCCCATACACAATTAGTTTACACCAGGCCTAGCTCAGAGCTTTGCAAAGGAATGAACAGAAAGGAGAAGGAGAACGAGGAATAGCTTGGGCATGGTGCAGGCTCAGCTGTTCAGTGTGAGATGGGAAGTCTGATTCTGAGGCCCTGGAGCCATATTACTTTCTGGGGGCTGACAGCCGTTTGAAGTTACGTGCACCCCCTAAACTGTCCAATTAATATGGCGGAGGTTCAACTGAATGAAGAGTGATGAGCTGTTCTAGAGCCTGGGAAGAAGCCATGTGGGAAAACAGGCACAAGTGGATGGAAAGGAGTTTTGTATGCTAAAATCAACTTACCCTGTAATAAACTTACCACTGGCCATGAACCTCTTGGAGTACTTTCTTATCTATATTTGTATTATTGGGCAATTTAAAGAATGTTAAAGGATCATTCCTCTATATGGAGGGACTTCAAAAAGTTCATGAAAAATGGAATTTAAAGATAAGCATTTTGGTACAAAAATTAAAAAATCCATGCAGTTTTTTTCAGAATATCCATTTTTTAAAGATTGATTTATTTATTTGAAAGGCAGAGTTACACAGAGGAGAGGCAGAGAGAGAGAGAGAGAGGTTTTCCATCTAATGGTTCACTCCCCAATTGGCCGCAATGGCCGGAGCTGCGCCATCCAAAGCCAGCAGCCAGGAGCTTCTTCTGGGTCTCCCACATGGGTGCAGGGGCCCAAGGACTTGGGCCATCTTCTGCTGCTTTCCCAGGCCATAGCAGAGAGCTGGATGGGAAACAGAGCAGCTGGGTCTCGAATTGGCACCCATATGGGATGCCGGCACTTCAGGCTAGGGCATTAACCCACTGAGCCACAGCGCCAGCCCCTTCATGAGCTTTTTGAAGACCCCTCAGTGTGCATGGATTTCAGTTTTTTTTTTTTTCAATGAAATGGTCTCTCAATTCCATTTTTCTAAAGATGTATTATGTATGTATGTATGTATGTATTTGAAAGACTGAGTGACAGAGAAAGGGAAAGAGAGAGAAAGAGCTGTTCCATCTGCTGGTTCACTCCACAAATGTCCACAACAGACAAGGCGAGGCCAGGCTTAAGTCAGCAGCCTAGCAGTGCATCAGGGTCTCCCAGTTGGGTGTGAGGGACCCAAGTCCTCGTGTCATCTTCCACTGCTCTCCTAGGTGTGTTAGCAGGGTGCTGGATCAGAAGAGGAGCAGTTGGGACTTGAACTAGCACTCTGATGTGTGATGGGGCAACGTAACCTTTGGTACCACAATGTCTGTCCCATGATTCCATTTTCTAAGAACTTTTTGATGCACACTCATACACTAATTTTGCCCATTGTGTTGACTTGAGAGCCTAATCCTGGACCAGACAAGACTCTCTTGTACTTGAGTTCCTTCAGCATTTAACGGGTGTCTTGAGCTCATAGGGTGTGCCAGGCCCTGGTCTAGATGCTGAGGATCTGACAAGGAGCCCACAGTGAGTGCATGCCAACCAGTGTGCAGGAAGAGCCAGGAAGAACAATCATCAAGTCTGAACCTTCGGCCCTCAGAGGAAAGCTGACTTGGGGAACAATGGCAAATTTAGACCCTTGGGTCATCTTGGTTTGCCAGTTAAAAAAAAGTAGAAAGTTTACTTTTCAAACAGATTTTCAAAAAATAAAAAAGAATTTCATTGGATATGAATATAATCTGCTGGATGAAATAGCCAAGGTTTGTTTTCCTTCAGAACGCAGTTGGAGGGATGAAAACCAGCCCACCCTTTAGTTTCGTGAGGGATAAAGCTCATTTGTCTACATCGCATTTGTCCTTACGTCCGGGACAAGGGGGTGCCAGCAAGTGACAGCTGTTCTGAGGAACATAGCAATGCTTGTAAGCTAGAGAGGACAGCGTCTGGAGCGGCTGAGGTATTCAACCAATGTCTGTGCAACAGATGAACGAATGCATCAGTGACAGACTGTACAGTGCAGTTGTATTGTGGACATTTTTTCTCACTGTTCATTGTCTTGCCAAGTAGTGATGACGATAATGCCTATAAGCCACTTATGAACACGTGTACAACATGATTTTCCCACTCATCAAGTCTCTTCACCAGCATCGATGGCTTTGAAATGTTCAGGGGGCTGTCCAGGATGATTAACGATGTGGACCTTGGTCACACGTGCTCTCATTTCTTTCTCCCACTTTCAGGATGCCAGAAAGCCAAGGAGAACGGACCACGAGCCAGCGAGGACCGGGTCAAAGGCCCAAGGCTCAGCTCCTCCGCAGCTGCTCAGCTTTGCAAGGAGAGAAGCTGACTCGGCAATCGCACCGGAAGTCAGCCAGCAAGGCGCAACCTGAGAGAGGAAGGGAGCTTCCAGGCCCGGGACCCGCCTGTGCGGCTTGCATCCCTGTGAGAGGAGCGGCCCAAGTCCCCTCCCATCGGCTGTGAGATTTGCTAACGATGTCATTTTGCCCATGGGAAAGAACTGGCTTAGGAAATGTTGGTTCCAAACCACAGTCCAGAACTGAGCCCTTTGATGAGTTAACAGTGCCCTTGCTAGAAGGTGGGAGGGCTGGTGTTGCATGGGGGCAGGGGCTTCCTGCTCCTGGGTTCAACTGGAGTTCATGCGAAATGGAATTCTTTTTTCTGAGTTAAGAGAAATTCCTTGGAATAAGGGAGAAAACATGTGCAGCCCGTGGTAACATTAATCCATCCCGGTTGTAATTACCAGAAACCATTTTTACTGAATCTTATATCTCTTTAAAACAAAAAGGAGCTCACCACCAACATCTGCTTCAGTCGGCTCCCCTCTGTCTCAGAGAACTGAGCAGTGGCAAAGCTGTGCCCAGGTGTATCTATGAGGCAGGGTGGTATAGTGAAAGGTACAGGATCCCCAGGTTTGGAACCTCTTTCTGGGAAATGCTGTGTGACTTCCTCAAAGTCACTTAACTGATCTGAACCCAAGTTTCCTCTGGGGAAAATGAAGACCGCAACGCCCATCTTCTAGCAACACTGTGAAATAATAGCTGTCAAGACACCCAGTGCCCAGTAAGTGTGAGGGCCTTGCTTCCTGGTGTCCTTTCTGGAGTTCCTAAGTCCCTGAGTCCTGGAGTGGGAGCAAGCTGGTGCAGGGCTTCCGGGTGCATTTGTCCCTCTGCCACTGCCTCTCTGAGGATTAGACATCACCAGCTTTTT